TTGTTTTTTACTTTGAATCACAGTACATTGAAAATCAGACCTGTCATTCAGGCTGAGAATGCAGCATTTCAAAGATTTCCATACCATGGAGATTTAACTTTCACCTGTTATGAGGATGATATCTGGGCAGCTGCATAAATTTTTGGATGTTTAAAGAGACTGCTGTCCCTTGTACAAACCTGAGGCTTTCTCTGAGCATTAGAAGACAATGAGGAGCCCATGTGGGCCTCAACCTCCCTCCTGCTGTCATAAACACAGGTTAGTCATTGACTCTGTGATGTTTAAAGAAGATATCCAAGAAAAATCACTCAGCTGGAACGTGGGGAAATGGTGTTGTGTTGTCTCTATTAGTGCATGAAATCAGATATTGAAAAATCTGTCTGGTTTCCGTAACTTTGGGTTTGGAATTAAATTGTTACAGCTTAGTTATGTGCAGAAATAAGGTCAATAGATCATCAGGGGGCTGGAAGATTGTGTTTGACTTTCTCTGTTTGATCTCTGAAGGCCTTTGCTTCAACTGGAACCACCCTTCTCCTTTTCTTGTGCAGACAATACTCTTTCCTTCCTCCTCCGTTAAGAATAACTGTGAACAAATTGGAAAATCTAAGCTGTGCTAATAAAAAATTAAAGATTATATTGATTAGCCAAGATTTCTTTAAAATGTAGTTAAGTATGTAATTACTGAAAACTAGATCTGGTGAGCCTTTATAGGTTTTGGAACTGGAGTGGCAATTGAAAATGAATAGTTTTGGATTACAGAGCGTTTTCATGTAATTTCTTCCATGGTCTGTTTTTCCAAAAGAAATTCTGCACATTTGACTCTACATTTTACCCAAATTTGCAGAGTATCAACCTGCTTATGTCTTGGGATGATGGTAGATGGAAAGCATTCCTTCTTACATCTCCAAGCATGTGCCCAGGCACCTTACAAGAGAAAAATAAAGCTCTCCAGGAGCCATGAAGTCTGGGCTGTCACAGTCACAGCTTGCTCTGCTCTTATATTTTCACTATTCATAATATGCAGCAAGTGCAGCTCGTTGCCATTAGTGCATTGATGTCAACTTTGGGGTTGTGTTGCACCCTCCCACTCTGTGATGTTCATAGAATCATCAGGAAATCACAGACTGGTTTTAGTTGGAAGGGATCTTAAAGATCATCTCGTTCCACCCCCTGCCATGGGCAGGGACACCTTCCACCAGCCCAGGTTGCTCCAAGCCCCCTCCAACCTGGCCTTGGACACTTCCAGGGATCCAGGGGCAGCCACAGCTTCTCTGGGCGACCTGTGCCAGGGCCTCCTCACCCTCACAGGGAACAATTCCTTCCCAATATCCAGTCTAACCCTGCCCTCTGGCAATGGGAAGCCTTTCCCCCTTGTCCTACCACTCCAGACCCTTGGAAATAGTCTCTCTCCGTCTTTCTCATCAGGTCTTTCAGGCCCTGGAAGGCCAACATTCAGTCATCCCAAAGCTTCTCTTCTCCAGGCTGAACAATCCCAACTCTCCCAGCCTTTGCTCCCAGCAGAGCTGCTCCTTCCCTCTGATCATCTTGGGGCCTCCTCTGGACTGTCTGGATCCAACAGGTCATAGTGTTGTGCTGCTGGAAAGCCTGGTTTTACTGCCATTAGTGATGGCAAAATAAGAAAAAATGCCATGGTGCTGCACCAATTTTAGACTTGATATTTATTTAACTTTTTTTTTAATTATGTTTGTAACAGAAATTAAAAGTATTACATTAAAATTAGAGATGAGCAGGTGAACTGTTATGCCAGTTATGAAATATCCAAAAATATCTTCGGGCATAATAAGCAACTTCATTATATTAATGCAAAATATTTTCCTATCATTAAAAATTAAAGAACAATCCAAATGTTATTTTAGCTCCTAGAAAGAAAATAAAAATCTTAATTTTTTTACACTTATTCCTTTGTTTTTAGATTAAATGTTGCCTACACAGCATCTTCAGAGCAGTTCACTGATCTCAGAGAAAACACTGTAGAGAAAATATCATCAAGCTTGAAAGGAAATAGCCGTCTGAATTACTTTTTGTCCCCTCCCTCTGCACTTAATATTAAATTATTTTATTAATTGTCAGAAACAACTACAAAGCAGTGCTGCACAACTTCTGCTAATTTGAATTTCCTCAGAAACTGCATTGTTGTTTTCACTTGAAAAAAACCAAACTCTGCTTGCTAGAAATAGTGATGAGCTGCACAGATTAGAGTGATTGTCATGGGAACGTTTTATAATTCATTGAAAGTGTATCATAATCTTGCTGTAGTTCAGTTTCCTTGTGTGGACTGTGAATCTAATTTCTAAAACTGTGCCTGTGCAATGGTTATAGGACAGGCTTTTTGTCATTTAAATGTACAATGCATTTTCAGTTTATTGTGCGTGTCCAGTGGGTCAGGGGCTTGACTTGGGGGCAGGTAGCCTGAGCTTTAGAGGTGTGGTTTTCATATTATAATGAGCTAAGGACACAATTTTAGCTCAAGTAAAACGTACAGTACATTGCCAAACATGGTGTCACATGTCTCTTTCAAGGTCTCTGTTGCTGTTCTCTTTTTACTTGTTTCAAAACTATTGGGTTGGAAGGGATCTTAATGATCATCTCGTTCCACCCCCTGCCATGGGCAGGGACACCTCCCACTAGCCCAGTTTGCTCCAAGCCCCATCCAACCTGGCCTTGGACACTTCCAGGGATCCAGGGGCAGCCACAGCTTCTCTGGGCAACCTGTGCCAGGGCCTCCCCACCCTTACAGGGAACAGTTCCTTCCTAATATCCCATCTAACCATGTTCTCTGGCAGCGGGAAGCTATTCCCCATTGTCCTGCTACTGCAGGTCCTTCTGAATAGTCTCTCTCCCTGCTTCTTGTCAGCCCCTTCATGCCCTGGAAGGCCACAATTGGGTCACCCCAAAGCTTCTCCTCTCCTGGTTCGACAATCCCAACTCTCCCAGCCTTTCCTCCCAGCAGAGCTGCTCCATCCTTCTGATCCTCTTGGGGCCTCCTCTGGACTGGCTCCAGCAGCTCCATGTCCTTGCTGTGCTATTCCCAGGGCTGGAGCAGCTCTGCAGGGGGGTCTCCCCTGAGGGGCAGAATCCCCCCCTGCCCTGCTGCCCACGCTGGGGGATCAGCCCAGGGCACGGGGGGTTTTCTGGGCCGGGGCAGGTCCAGCCTCTGCCCCACCAGCACCCCCAGGGCCTTCTCCCAGGGCTGCTCCATCTGCTCATCCCCAGCCTGGATTGATCCTGGGGGTTCTCCTGACCCAGGGGCAGCACCAACACTTGGCCTTGTTAAACCTCCTGAGATTCCCAGGGGCCACTGCTCGAGCTTGTCCAGGTCCCCCTGGATGGCCCCGTCCTTCAGGTGTGTCACTGCACCCCCAGCTCAGAGTCACCTGCAAACCTGCTCGGGGGCACTATAACCTTGGTGTTTCCTGCTCTCTGGAGTTTTTATGGTATTTATTTGTTTGCTATGATTGACTGTGACAAATCTTTTCCCTAAGCCATTCCTGTTCCATCACCCGTGTAAACAGGTGCTGGTTGCTGAGGCAGGGCAGGCTGTGCTGTGGGTGCCACGCTGTGCACTGGGGCAGAGCTGTTCTGCCTGGGGAGAACAGAGAGCTGCGGGGAAGGAGCTGCGAGGGGCATTGCAAAGTGATCCGCAACCAAAAGCTTTCCAGGCAAAATTCAAGTTTCTTTTCCAGCAGTCCCTGAAGGGGAACCTGGCTGGGGGGGGATGCCCGAGCAGCAGCAAAGGGGCCAGAAGTGGGATGAGTGAGGGGACAGAAGGGGCTGCCAGGGCAGGTTGGGGCTGTCTCTGCTGGAGACGGATCGAGGACCCCCGGGTGGCAGAGGGGGGGGTCAGGGGTGTGTGAGGAGCTGCTGCAGACGGAGTTTTGGCTGCCCCACACCCCTGGGGACATGAGACACCCGTGGGTGTGAAGGGATAGCTGGGAACCTGCTGTGTGAGGCCAAGCTTGGGCTGGCAGAGATTTGCATGAAGTGGGAATTGGTTTGAATGGCCCCCTCAAACTGCATCTGTTTCACCTGTTTAATACCCTCAAAGGATGTCATTTCAAATTAAATGTGGGAGCCTCATGTTACCTATTGCTTTTGGTTTGTTGCAGGTGTGTGTCTGACTTACATATTTCTATACTTATTTAATGTTTACACCAAAGCAAAAGAAACTTTGCTTCTTTTTCCTTACACAGGCACTACTCAGCCTCTTTATAAATGCAGACTGCACTTCAGAGGCAAGAGTATGAGAGTGCCAGAACATTCCTACTCTGTCATACCCCTGGTTTTCCTTTAAAACTGCAGCCTAAGAAAAGCTAAATGATTGAGGTTGTGTGTGAATAAATAGATTCTTTAGCCCTGGAAATCCTAATATCATTAATTCCCAGTTTCAGTGAGCTTTAGTCATCTACCTGCTTGTTCTGTGTGTGTGCTTTGCCTAATTCAAACTGTCCCAGTTACCACAATATTAAATATTGTCTATGTGCTTATGAATGTATAAAATAATGGAAGAAATAGAATTATGACAGTGATACATGGATGTATTTTGGAAATCGTACACAAGCACAAGTAACCATCAATCTAGTCATGGAACAGTTTTTAGATTTATTGAGCCTATGTACTGAAAATGTTAAATGGACTCATGTATTTTAAATCACCAAGTTTTGAGCTGGCATAGCTGTGCTTGTTTTGTTGGTGTTGTGGTCAAATGACCTTAGGAAAAACATATTTTGGAGTAAATTCCCTCTTGCTGAAATCAAGGCTGTTACTTGAAGGATAGGTGGTAGAATATATTTGAAGGCATGTTATAAATCAAACCAATTCTTTCTCTAGAAAGCTTTGATTTATGCATGTCAAATTAACTTTTCCAAACTTGCTGTAATTTATCTCAAGCATGAGAATTCTCAGGAAAATGAAATGTATTTGCACTGTGCACTCAAGGTAAAATTTTTGACTCCATATTAATCAACAACAATGTCTTCTAGGATGATGGGAACGTAATTCAGTGGATACCTTTGGAGCAGCAGTCGCTCTCTGGGCTGACAGAAGGACCAGAAAAAATGGTAAGAAAAACTCTCCTTTTAGCAGGATTATTTATTTTTTTTTAATCCACTACAATAATAATGCAAAAATGTGTGTTAGGAGTTTTGATGGCGAAGAGCTGAACAGATAAAGCAGATAAAAAATAAACTGTTTAACTGGTATAATATTAAAGAAAGTTAGAGTGATGGTTTATTATCTGCAGAGGTACAAATAATGTGTCGTTTCTTCTGTTCTGCATGTACAAAAAATAGTCCTACGATCTGGGATAGATTTATTATTCTTCATTGATTGCCTCATTCTGTTGGAGGACATTTCTGGCAGTAAAGTAGAAGACCTGTCACATCTATCATGAGGTGTCGGAGATCTGTCAGGTCTGTGCCTCTTTTTTGAACTTTGCTGTTTCAGAAAAATGTAGCTGAGCATTATAGGCAGAAGTCTGACATTTCCAAGATGAAAATCAATCTTCTTTTATGTGGTGTTTCTCAAAGAAGACTCGCTTTGATTCCACCAGTGGTGGTTTCACATGTTGGAGGACACCACATGGACACCAAATAATTTGCGTAACAGATTTGACGGGTGTTCTGTAATGAAAATAAATTGAAGAAATGATCATAGAAGAGATACTCAAGTCAAGATAGCAGAACAAACACTGATCTGCTGTTGTCACAGCTATGAACCTAAAGGTGTTTCTTTCTGGTTCTTGCATTTTCTTGTATTTCTTTTTAAAGCTGGGGACTAACAAGGTAAACACAGCCTGTTGTGAATTACTATTCCATATTATTCCAGATTTAGAGGGGAAAAAAAGAAGAACTGTTAAAATGAATTGCTAAAAGTGTGAGAAACAATGAGATGTCCTAATGTACGGGAAGGGAGGTCAGATGAAACACACTGAACTTTAAAATGAATGTTTAAAAAAATGTTTAAGCAATTTATTTAACTGTAAAATACTTTGAAACCAAGAGACCCATTGTGCCAACACAGGTCCTTGTCCGGGTGATCAACACCTGGGCTTTTTACTTATGCCCTGTGGTGTTACTAGAGACAAAAAAGGCTAGTTGTATGTTAGTGTCTGTGTCTAGAGACAGCAGAAGTCTGGGGAGAAGGGCCCCATGGAGCCACAAACAGCCAGACAGGCACAGATTGTAAGATGCTGGGAGTGTCATGGGAAAATATTCTTTTGTTAGGTTGCTTCCCAGGGCAGATGTCTGGAAATAAGGAACAGAGTGGTCTTGTTTCCTTAGTAGTTGCATTCAGGGAGATCTTCATCAGAGAAATAAATAAGTAAACTAATGTTGTGATACTCAGTTGTCCTGTTCCAATAGGGAGAAGCATGGAAATTCCCATGAAGGAGCCACTTGGGTTCTTGGGTGGAACCATGTGGGATGAAGAATTACCTCCATATGCACATGTCTGTGCTGATGGTTTCAGCTGCCTTCGATTTTGATAGACCTGTACCTTTGGTACAGACACGTGGCATAATTGAAGCAGTATTCAGGTGGTCAAGTAGCACTAAGAAGAAGAAATGCAGAGAAATCAGAAGAACTAGTGGGCAGAATTTGGATTTACAGTCATCAGTCATAGAAACAGACATGAGCTGAGTGATCTCTGTTTGTAACAAATACATGAAAAAATCTATATGAATGTAGCACTGAAATGTGATATAGTATTCTTAATTTTTTTTTTTTAATCCACCCTGAGCAAAGACAATCATTGTATGAAAACGTCTCTTTCCTGTCACATATCAAGAGCATCCTGTGGACCTCTTGCCATACACCTGTACTGATTTTACAGAGGCAGGTTTTCACTAGCCTGCATAGCTCACAAAGCTAAGAGTTTTCATTTTTGAATATTTTTAAAAATCAGTTAAGATAATTAGTAGCTATTTATATCAGGAGTTTTTAGCTTGGTAGGTTCTCAATTTAGTCACTCAAACATGCCCTGATATTCTACACAGATGATACTGTGTCAGCCACAAAATACTGCCTCAATTTTTTTAAGGAGTTTAGCAATGCATGAAATGCATATTTAGAGCAAGAATAGTCTCCTATCTTTAGGTTTCTAGCAATTGTTTAATTCAAGACAACAACAAAAGTCCCTAGAACACGCAAATAGTCCTAAGTTTAAATAAGATGACATGTAAGATGGATTGATAATTTCTCTTCCCTATATTTATTTTTCTTTATAAGTTGAAAAAAAAGATATTGGCTATTTCCAGGCTTAAGGCACTGAGAGAAACAAATCCATTCAGTTCCAGAGCAGACTCCATTAACACAAACTGCCTTCAGCCTATTAGGCCTCATCACTGAGATGTTCTAAACAAGTGTTTGTTTCTAAAAGCTCTGGAAGCCAAGGAATTAAACCCCCCCCCCCCCCCTTAGTTTTAAAAGCATGTTTTCTGAGCCTTAATAAAATGACACTTTGTCTTACTTTTGTGTCTCCAGTCATGCAGGAAATTAGAAGACTAGTTCCTTCCTGCAGACTTTGGGTTTCAGGCTTCAGGCTCAATTTGGCAGGTTATATTGCTCAAATTAGCTTGTAAATGAGATATTTGTTTCTAAAGTACAACTGATATCAACTTGAATGCAAATACTTAGAATATGAACATCTCTCATTTGATTCTGTAATTATATGATGGTTTTTCTTGTCAAGAGAGCTCAGAAGCTTAGTATTGATTTATGTTATTGAGTTTCTCAAACTGCAATGTGTCATTGTTAAGTATAATTTAGAATGGCCTTTTTTCTCTCCTCTAATCTTGTATGTGGCAAAGCTTGATCTAATTTGGGGCTGGAATGATCTCAAGAATCTTTTAACTCTTGTGCTCATGTAGTGACGGTGGCACGTCTGGAGGAAGATGATGTCATTAAGATGTCTGATTTCTTTATGGTTGTCTGTTTGATATGAAATGATATTTTCAAGCCAGGCCTGAGTACTTTTAGCGTGAGAGACGTTTTTGTGGGAATCCAGGTTTGGAGGGAATCTTCTTCTGTTCTGGAGGGAATCTTTTGCTTGTCAGGTGGGGAGGGGGTCACCTTCAGCACACAACTTGCATTAAGGCATGAAATGGCCCATCTGGAGAGATGGTTGCTGTCCATCCCACCCAATGCTTCAAGCCCGAATACCACCCGGGGAAATAATGGATTTTGGCAGGTGCTAAAGTCATTTTACAGTGCTGGCCTTCACGTGTTGCAAGAGAAACACCAGAATTACTAACATTCATATCCAGTGGGTGTCATGTGATGCTTTGTGTTTTCCTGATGCTGCAGAAGGTGACCATGGATGCTCTGGTTGCCTGTGCACACACTGCACTTGAGATGCTGCAAAGTGCTGTGCTGACACCCCAAAGTCAACCAGAGCTGGAAGGGGGGGTGGAACAAGATGTACTCTAGGTCTCTTCCAACCCAAGCCATTCTCTGATTCTTTAATTCTCTAGTTAGTAGATGCTGGGCTGTAATAATACATTAAAGGGCAACGATATTTAAGGAACACAGTGCCTTTTTTTCTGTCCTTTTTTTTGCTTGTATTTGCATTCTGAAACAATCCAATGAACCATCTGTTGAGACTTAAGGAAACTGTAATCTGGGCCCTAAAACCTCTTTTCAAACTGCTGCATTATAATTGCTCAGTTCAAAGGAGGCACATTAACCTGATGTGTTTAACATGTAGATAAATAAATGCACAAACCTGTTCCACATCTTTGATTCATTTTGATACCAAAACTAAAATAATGACGTTAGAAATTGATTTCAGCTTTTGCTTTATAAATTGATTGGAATATTCTGAACATGAAATTCTTCTGGAATTTCTTTTGAAACATTATGTGTTATATGAGAGACAGTTTGTGCAATGTGGAAATTCATGTTTGACACATGTTGACATTGTGATCAGAGCTCTTGGTTTCCCAGTTTGTCTGTGTGGCTGAGATGAAAACAAGATGCTGGTCTCAAACCAAGACCCAGCAGTGTCTGGATCAGATTGACTCTCTGTCATGGGTGCTTTTGTATGTGTGCTGAACCTGTGGTCCCAATCCCTTCCCTGGGGTAAGCCAGGGAAGCAGGGGGTGTAGGCAGGTGTTTTGTCTGTTTGGTTTGGTTTGCACTGGGAGGTTTTTTCGTTAATTCAGTGTTAGCCATTCGAATCTGTTGGATTGAATTTGAAGTGTTAGGGTTTCAGGACTGCTGTCCTCATCCCACATGTTCCCTAACAGGTAGAGGATAACTAAGTTAGAAGGTACTAGCAGCTCTAACAACACAGCTTTCCTCTGAGGGCTGACTGCCAGGGGGATCTAGGGCATTGGTCGGTTGCAGTTTTAAGAGGATCATCAGAAACATGAGGTGGAGAAGAATCCAGCAGAGAAAGATGGTGAGATAGGCAAAGCTCCTTGAGTGTCCTCAACTACCTTGTTAGGGAAACAACCTTAGAAATTGTAAGGAAGCTGATAACTGTTCTTTTGTCTGCCTTTTGTTCATGGAACAGTATTTCTGTGTCTTCATGGACTGGCTGGTGTCAGAGGGGTTTGTTTATCATCACGTTTTGTCCTTGTGAAAGTAATCAGGTATGGACCTCAAACTGCCATGTTGCTTAGAACAGCATGTACCTGGAGGTGAGTCCTCCTATTGAGTTGGTTTTGCCAGATAAAATAGGCCTCCTGGTTGAATGCTGTCAATGTGCAGTCATTCTTTTCTACTCGCAGTTGTGAAGTGCAGGATATACACTAACAATGACATCTGTGCAATTTTTCTCTCCAAAATGATACCCCCTCCCAGATGTGCCTTTAATGACTATTTCATACCAACCCATTTTCATCTTTGATAAAATTGCATTAATTACTCATACTCATGTATTCACTTTGCTATGAAACAGAACCAATTTTCTTCATGTTATTGCCAAGCCTTCTGTGACAAACCGAAACAGATGATCTGTAGTATTTGCGTCATCATACAAGCTCTTTGAAGCACAGGCTGAAGCAGCAGAGGTTGTTCTTCAATCACTGGGGGTACATTTGTGCCTTGAGGATTGCAAA